GGGGGGGATTTGAAATTGAATTCTTTAAGTAGGCACTTTCATCAAAGATAGATGTTGATTGCTTTTTTGGCACTAGTATGATTGCTTTAATAGTTGAAGTTGACTTTAAACATAAGTAATACTCCCTCTCCCTCTAGTTAAATTTTTACGAGGTAGTTTGACTCGGATGAAATTTAAGAAAAAAAAGAAAACTTTTAAAATTTATGGTCTTAAAAGCTTAAGGGGTAAAAATTTTGTGGGGTCATGACATTTGTATAGTTATAACAGCTTTTTCATTAAAGGTAAAATAGGTAAAATGAAAAGATTAAAGTTAAATTATTTCCAAATTTAGAAATATATCATTTATTTTGGAACAGACTAAAAAGGAAAGTACCTCATCTAATTTGAAACGGAGGGAGTACTTTGAAGTGAATTATAAGTAAATTTGAATAAAAAGTTAATAGTAGTATATACCTATGAAATAAACTAAATCTACATATAAATTCTTTTTTCAAGAATCTGTACTTAAATGATAACTTTCTAATTTAAGAAGGCCTTAATGAATTAGAATAATTTCAAGGTCAAAATATTTTATTTTAACCATTAATATGTATTTGGTATGATTAAAAACATTTTGTGTAATGCCATTGCCAAAACTCATTCGGAAACACAAACAGAACAAGTTATGGATCAAATGGATCCACACATATTATATAGGCTGTTGACTGTGGACAGGCTTACTAAATAGGGATATAAAAGAACTATGGGACAGAATTATGCTTTGGTCGAGAAGACAGGTAGGCACACTACTAACTGGAACCAGCACATGGAATGGATAATCAAGAATGCCAAAGGAAAGACTCAAGCAGCTCAAATGTTTAAAATGGTCTATGTAATCGACGGTGAAGCAGAATTTTCATTAAGGGAATTTAAAAAATAAAAAAAAAGTAAACATACGATAAATCAAGAGAATTCAATAGCTGACAAAGAATTGCAGGTTGTAAGTTTTGTATCAAAAAAAATGAATTATTTTCTCGAAATACATATTTCGGTGCTTTGTTTAAGAGTGAAAAGTATTTATGAAAGAATATTTATTCAAGGTTGATTATAGTTTTAGCAAATTGGACAGAGTTGTAATGAAAACTTTGAATATTAAAGATTGATAAGAATATCTAAGTATTCAATATTGGAAAAGTAATATAAACTTAAAAGTTGACATATTAAAGAAAACGGTTATATACTGCCAATAATTGAATCTTTTTCCCTTGTTTGAGGAAAATATTTTCCTTAAAAAGTATTTTTTAATATCATACATCAGAAAAAAAAATTATCGTTTAAAAATATTTTTAGGAAAAATATATTTGTCAAGAGGATGAAGGAGCTAGACACTTACATGAGCACCAGAGACAATTGTGTGGACGACTGAAGGGATGATGGGTAGAATTTCATTTATATTTTTGCCTGAAAGAAGTGCATGTGTATAATCATTGCCTCCAAATTCCCCTAGAAGAAATAATGACCTCTCCAAAAATTTACTGCAACCTGTCCAAGAGAACCCAAAGTAGGTAAATTTTTGCAATTTCTTCAAATATAATCGGATAGTTTATCCACAACTCACTCCAAATTTTTCAACAGACTTGAAAATATTCTATTGGGTAGAGGTGAAAATGATTATAATGTGTCCAAAATGTCCCATATAAGAAGTTTTACGTATAAATAAAAAGAAAGAAAAACGAACTTTATGGTCCTGTCACGGCTCAAGGCAACTGTCTGCTTTAACTTGATTATCTGGGGTGTAATTCAAAAATAGCCAGACTTATAAGCTAATTGAAAAATAATCATAATTTCAAAGGTAATCGAAATTTAGCCACTTTTCATGTAAAGATAAATTTGAACAAAAACACTGTTCAAAATCCGGAAAATATTCCAGCATAATATACTGGAGTTCGATTTTTTACATGTGAACTTCCAGCATAATATACTGGATTCCAGTATAATATACTGGAATTCCATCATAATATGCGGGAAGTTCATACACACCTCCAATCTCCAGTATATTATGCTGGAACTTTCCGTGTGCTGGAATTCTAGCATAATATGCTGGAAGTTCATACACAGGTGCATCAATCTCCAGTAAATTATGCTGGAACATTCCGTGTTGCAACAAAATAGCAGCTATAATTGAATAACTTTACAAACGCTGGCTATTTTTCAATTACCAGTCCAAAAATTGACTAGCCCGTGCTATTTTTACATTATTTTCGGTCACTTGGCTTTTGGATTTTACCGTTTGTTTTGGTGGGTTTTAATCTAAACGCCCCTCAACCTTATATGGTCACTATCTATCCTCGCCATTTTAATGTAAGTTTTGCCTTATCAAACTTTACAAGGAATTTCTTTTCGAGTTCAATCGTCTGTTAGTAGAATAAGTCAAAGATTATGTTAGTTGTTTTGATTTGTTTACCTAATATCTAGGAGATTTGGTTTCTGTTACCTAGAGTTTAGTAAGTAGTTCCAATCTTTATGCTTTTCTAGTTGCTGTAATTGCCTATAAAAAGGCTGATGGTGTTGAATAAATAAACCAAGCGAGCAGTAGCTCATTAGACATAATATAGCTTTTCTTGTTCTATGAAATTCTGTTTTTACTTCGTTCCAGCATCACCTCACTTATTTATTCCATTTTCTAACATCGTCAGCGATCTATAAATTATTAGGCTCACCTTTAAAAAAGCGAATAATAACTTCTTAGACCCCAATTAGTCCATAATAGGTCCAAAGAAAAACTCCAATGGAATCTTCCAGTTGTTTGTCTCTTTCCTACCAGGTTTGTCCCCACCCCAAACCCCACAATTATTATTGATAAAATATACTCCTCCGTTTCAAATTATATAAGATATTTTTTTTTAGTACGTTCCAAAATAAATAATATATTTTTATAATTGAAAATAATTTAACTTTAAACACTTCATTTTATCCATTTTATTCTTAATGAGAAGCTTTTATAACCACACAAATGTCATGGTCCCACAAAACTTTTACCTCTTACGCTTTTAAGATCACAAGTTTCAAAAGTCTTTTTTTTTCTTCTTAAACTCTGTGGCGAGTCAAACTATCTCATCTAAATTGAAACGTAAGGAGTACCTTTTCTTTAACTTGTTTACTATATTAAAAATACATTTTTATTTTTACTTGTCCATTGTGGACAGTTAAAGTGAACGAAGGACCAACAAAGGTTGTGGTGGAGTGACAAGTACTCCTTTAATCTTAACCAAAGGTTTCGGGTTCGAGCCCTGGTATGAAGTCGCCTTTGTTAGAGAGCGTTTTACCCAATGTGAGAATTTCCGACACGAATCCGAATTTAATAGGACCCCAATATAGATACCGTATACGGGACGAAAAACCCAAAAAAAAAGAAATTAACGAAGGGAGTAGGAAACAAGATAACGGAATGACATTCACCTGAAGGATTATGACATAAGTATGGAAGCATTTGTTTGAACCAATCCAATTGATCCCACATAGAAACATTAGTTACTTTGTCATAAATTCCTCTTTTTTCATAGAATTTTGCATCCATAGCTCGAGATCCAACCACTGCAAAGTTTATTCCAGATTGCATATTTCCTCCATCTCTAGCCTCCTTTGAAGGTGGTGGAAGTGGAAGTCCATAGTGTTGTGCTGTTATATTAATTATCACAATATAAAGATTAAATAAATTGATATGACAAAATATTGTTCCGCATCGAGCGGAGCTAGAGGGGCGGAAGGGACTTTATTCGAACCCGCTTCCCCGAAAAATATATAAGGCGAAAATTTATTTTACTTTTACCGTATATAAAGACACGCAATACTATTTCGCATATAAAGACATGCAATGCTATTTCGAACCCGAGACTAACATATGCACAACACGTGTGTATGTTATTATGAAATTTTAGAGTGCAAAAGATGAATAATAGTGCTAAGTAGTAGTTGGACTTTCATCCATATATAATGAAAGAAGTTATTTTTACTCGGAAAACGTTTTTCTTTAAAAAGCATTTTCTGATAATCAAACACCAGTATATAATTTCTTACGAAAATGACTTATTCACTTACAAATCAAACATTACAAAATATTTTATTAATAAAAATAGAAGAATTAACCCAAATAGCCGCGCACTCAATTGCTTAAACTAAAAATAGTCGGTGGATGTATAATATATGCATAATTTATGTATTATATGTATATAATCAATGTATAATCTATACATATGGCTAGATTATACATATGTTTTAAATAGTTCGACCAACATAGTACCTAATTAATTAAGAAAGTTTTATACTCACCAATGAGATCAATGAGAAGACGGCCATCAGAGCAACGACCAGTAGGACGATTGAAGTAGGTTTTTCCATAGGGAGGAAAATACATGTGAGGTTTTCTACCAGGTGGATAGAGGTGAACTAAGTTTCCAGCATCAGTAAGAGAATCACCAAATCCAAAAATGGATTTGTAACAATTACTTGTAGCAATTTTAGCAGAAGCAAAGAAAATACATGTAAAAAAGTAAATAATTATCAGTTGAGAAGAAGAAGAAGACGACGAAGAAGCCATTGGAACTTTTGGAAAAGCCAAAGGGACACAGCCAATATTCTCAAATTGCATGTGTTTAAATACTCGTAGACTTTGATGCTCAAAACATTATTAAATTTACCAACTTTGGTCCCATTGTTTTTTTTAAAGGTTTTTTAATCATTGATCTATGGTGTTTTCTTTTTTTCTTTTTTTCTTTTTTTACTTTATTTCTGGTTAAAAGTTTTCTTGGAAGTATATTACGTACATATCTAGAAAGAGTATTCTAAAGTTAAATTTCTCCTAAATACATGAACGTGACATTTATTATTTTTGGAACAAACAAAAAAGAAAAATATAACACGTAAATAGGGAAAGAGGGAGCATACGTCTTAATAAGAGTATTTTGGAGATCACAAAAGATATTAGGGATAAAATTATAAAAGATATAGTCAAATGAAAAGTAATTATAAGCTGCAACACATAAGTTTTGAATCCCCTTATATAAATTTCTAACTCTGCTTCGGACTGTTTGTACACATAATGAGTACAAAATGTTTATTTTATAGCTTCTAAAGTTTCAGAATATTAATTCAGACAGATCAAACTGGTCTTATATAGGAGAATAAATGTCCTTTTTCAACTTTCAAGAGAGGTTAGCCACCTGTGGTTATAAAAGATAATAAATTCTAGAGATGACAATTGGGAGGGGCGGGACACGGAAAGATCTAAATAGGGTGGTAGAGGCGGATCCAAGATTTCAAGAGAATGAGTGCACTATTATGAAGATACAAATTTAGAATTTATATTTGACGAATTTAACTTTAGTATCTACCATGTACCCACTACACTTTTGAAATTATAGGTTCAAAATTATATTCTTTTTTAAATTTTTAGTGATTTTTACGTATATATCTATAATCCGTACCGAAAACAAGACCGTACAGAGTGGGATTGGAACCACCAATTTCACTCGTAGAGGTGCACTCAATGATTATTGCACCATAGGAGTCTTTGAGCATGGGTTCACGCACATATAATTAAGTAATTTTTAAAAAATATAACATTATTATACCTCGTTCAGGGAGAGGAGTATGGGTTCACGTGAACCCATACCCTAAGACTTAGATACGCCCCTGTAGGGCGGGGCAGGACAGGGCGGGAAAAAATATTTTTTTTGAAAAACATTAATGGGTTAGAGCAGGCAGGGCAAGGTATGGAGCAAATAGGTTTTCTCCTTCATTCTCTTTATACATTCTAGATTTGTAAAAGATTTATAAATTTATAACAGAAGCGGTGAATGTTGAAATTATATACGGTCAAAATAGATTTCGGCCTTCCTACGTTCGATCGAGTTCGAGTGGCAAAAAACCGGAGTAGGATTTTGGGAGTGAGCTCCGAAGACAGTGCAAATGAGCCTCGAGTCCGAAAGCTGCTCGAGGAGTCGGCTCGATAATCTTATCGAGCCCGTGACCAAATCGATCCGCAAGGCATTGCTTCGAGGTCGGAAATGCGCCACGCCCATCCCGAAGGTCGAACTCAAGCCAAGACCGAAGGGCTCGACCCAGTAACGAGTTCGAGCCAGTATCGAGCTCACAGACAAGAGCCGTTACAACCGCACCAAGAGAGAGAATCTTGACGAGAATCGAGAAAGAGACAAATTATCATGGGTCCTCCACTATATGCTTTATTTTATTATAAATAAAGTAATGACCCTCTATTATAAAAGGGGGGATCCTTGTAATCTATGAGGACACTGAATAGATTGGAACAAAAGATCTTTTCTCATATACAAAGATATCTCCCTATGCTTGTTTTTCTTCATCTTACTCGTTATTTCTTCATCATTACCATTCTTATAGTCAAAATACTCGTATTGCTATCTTTGCATTAAAGGGTATCCCGTATCCTTAGAATCATATATAAATTTAACGTTATCTGATTTTTTGGGTAAACAGTTTGGCGCCCACCGTGGGGCTAAGGATAACAGTGATTGTTTGATATAAATCTGCAGTGCACACTAGTTTACAACTTCAAATCAGTAATGGCTTTACCTATCGACCACGAAGTCGTCCTTCAAGATGAAACCAACAACTTGGCACCCGGGGCCGGAAGGCCACTTGACGATGGCACTGAGGCTCGAATCGAAGTACACGAAATTTGAGCCGAAATACCATTGGATGTCAATTCACAAATAGCTCTGGAGGCGAATCAGCGTTCCGAACACGGAAAAAAGCATTCAGGACGGTACTCGATCCGTAGCCCGAGACGCCCATAATGCGGGAGAAATCAAAGCCAAACTCATATACAAAGCAGGTCGGATTCCAATCCGCTTCGAAAAATCACCCCCAGAACGGAGCCCGCCATAGTGAAATCAAACGAGCAAGAATTGGGGACCACTCCCGAAATTACTAAATTCCTCGAAGAACTCATAAAATGAGTCGAAGCCAACGACAAGAGAGTGGAAACATACAATGACATGGTCTATCAAATCTCGGTGGATCCACCAATGATAAAAGGGCTTGATTCGAAAAAATTCATACAAAAGCCTTTTCCCTCGAGTGCGGCCCCAAAATCAATCCCCAAAAAATTTTGTTTGCCCGAAATTCTCAAATATAACGGTACGATCGATCCTAGCGAACATGTCACCTCTTACACATGTGCTATCAAAGGTAATGATTTGGAGAACGATGAGATCGAATCCGTGTTGTTGAAAAAGTTCGGGGAGACCCTCTCGAAGGGAGCAATAATCTGGTATCACAATTTACTACCAAATTCCATCGATTCTTTTGCCATGTTAGCATATTCGTTCGTAAAGGCACATGCTGGTGCCATAAAGGTTGCAACAAGGAAATCAGATCTCTTCAAAGTAAAGCAAAAGGGTAATGAAATGCTGAGGGAATTCGTATCCCGATTTCAAATGGAACGCATGGAATTGCCACCGATCACAGACGATTGGGCCGTACAAGCTTTCACCTAAGGGTTGAACGAGCTAAGTTCGACAGCATCACGTTGGCTAAAACAAAATTTGATCGAGTATCCAACAATAACTTGGGCAGATATACACAACCGATATCAATCGAAAATTAGGGTCGAGGATGATTTCGGCGGGTATCCCGAATCGGCATACGATATGATCCCAAATAAAGTCTATAACTTCTTTCTCTCTTATTTTCTCGAACGCCTGCGCTTGNCATTGAATGTCCTTCGATATAGCGTTCCATTCGAAGCCAACATGAATCGAGCAGCTTTAGTCCATAAGGACCTAGAATCTTTAGGGTACGATGGGAGTTTTCCGCTCTTTAAGTATTCAATATACTTATTTCTCCAATCCCAGGTTAAGCTTGTAGAATTTATCTCGGCGTGACCTTCTTCGATTACCGATCTTGAAAGTTGAACGACAGTCCCCGAGCTCAAGTCATCTACCTCGACCGATGATCCCAAATTCGCAAGTGCATTGGCCTCATTGTTTTGTTCTCATGGAACATGCCGTAAAGTCCATTGTTGAAATGGTGCAAAGTGACAAGCAGTTTGTCTAAATACCTTTGGATTCTACCTTCTCCAACTTCGAAGGTTTTGTTTACTTGACTCACCACCAACAAAGAGTCACAATTAGCTTCAATGACTTCTGCTCCCAAGTTTTTAGCTAGCTCGAGACCTGCAATCATGGCTTCATACTCGGCCTCGTTGGTAGTCAACCTGGTAGTTTTAATAGATTGCCTAATAGTGTTACCCGTGGGTGGTTTCAAAACTATGCCTAGCCCGGACCCCTTCACGTTCGAAGCCCCACCCGTAAAAAGGATCCATACCCCTGATGATGTACCCGATTTCAATAGAAGTTCTTTTTCGACTTCGGGTACGAGGGTTGGAGTGAAATCGGCCACGAAGTCTGCTAAATTATGAGACTTGATGGCCGTACGGGGTTGATATTCGATATCGTACCCACTGAGTTCGAAGGCCCATTTGGCCAATCGGTCTGATAGCTCGGGCTTGTGCAAAATATTACAAAGTGGGTAAGTGGTTAATAGGCATATGGGATGACATTAAAGTACGGCCTTAACTTTCTAGAAGCGCTTATCAGTGCAAGTGCCAATTTTTTTAGGTGCGGATTTCTAGTTTTCGCTTCTCCTAAGGTCTGACTTATATAATAAACGGAAAATTGCGCACCTTGCTCTTCTCGAACTAGGATGCCGCTTACGATGATTTTCGATACTGCCAAGTACAAGCAAAGTTTTTTGTCTGTTTTTGGAGTGTGAAGTAGTAGTGGGCTTGATAGATATCGTTCTAGTTCCTCTAATGCTTGTTGGCATTCCGGGGTCCAAGCGAAATCGTTCTTCTTTTTGAGTAGAGAGAAAAATTTGTGACCTCGATATGATGATCTCGAAATGAATCAGCCTAAGGTTGTCCGTCCCGTTAGCCTTTGTACAGCTTTCACGTTGTCCATGATGATGATGTCTTCGATGGCCTTGATTTTATCGGGGTTAATCTCGATTCCCCGATTCGACACCATGAAGCTGAGGAACTTGCCCGAACCGACCCCGAAATCACTTTTTTCTGGGTTGAGCTTCATGTTGTATTTCCTCAAAATCTCGAACGTTTCCTGCAAATGGGTCAAATGGTCCTCTGCGCGTAGGGACTTAACTAACATGTCGTTAATATAAACTTCCATTGATTTACCTATTTGTTCTTCGAATATTTTATTTACTAGGCGTTGGTAAGTAACTCCTGCATTTTTTAGCCCGAAGGGCATCACATTATAACAATATGTTCCATATTTGGTGACAAATGAAGTTTTTTCCTGGTCCTCCGGGTTCATCTAGATTTGATTATACCTGAAATAAGCATCGAGAAAAGTGAGGATCTCATGGCCGGCCGTGGCATCGATTATGCGATCGATATTGGGCAGCGGAAAGGAATCTTTGGGGCATGCTTTGTTCAAATCCTTATAGTCCACACACATTCTAAGTTTGTTTCCTTTTTTTAGGCACTACAACTACATTGGATAACCATTCGGGATATTTCACCTACCGAATGGACCCTATCTTGAGAAGTTTGGTTACCTCGT